TCCAAAATAAAGTCATAATTATTTTTAGACTTAATATTTTATACTTTTAAATTTTAATTCATAAAAAATGGTTATGACAAACATCTATACAACGAATATCATCAAAGGCCCCATCCGTATTGAATTTAATCACTCCGACAACCAGTGGTCGCCATCTACCATTATCCACCTTCAGAATCACACCTCCAATGGTCATCCCATGATCACTCTGCACATCTTTCTCCTTTGCAATCGAACTCAAGTATTCTTGGTGAAGAATTCTTGTATTCGTAACCAAAATCCAGGCGCTCACAACCTGTTATTATGAATAAATGAATTACTGTTATTCTATATATTCCAAAAATAAATAATAAAACAACAAAATCATCACATATCAGAAAAGATAACGAGTCCTCCAACCAAACCAAGGATCAACTACAGTACTAAGAGCAACACCAACAAGAATATAAGCAAGACGAAGGATCTCTTGACTTCGAGAACAACAATGAACTGCATGAAACGTTGGCAGAATACATCGGGCAAATTCCATTAGTCAACCCGATAGCTTTGAGTTACTTCCCACAGTAAGGCGTTACGAGCTACACACCATGCAAAATTACAGATTTCTGGAAGCAACTGAATCTTTGCAATGACCGATCAAATCTTAGATGGACCTTTAGTATCATGGGCACTCTTTTGCAACCACCAGTAACAAGATCACACAGAATACATGCCAGAATCATGGTTACCCCAAATAATCACATCCTTATTATGAGGTTCAATAGGAACAACCAGTACCTGATTAACATCAACATCAGTAAAGACCCAGCGAATCAAAGGTTCATTCCACAAGTTAGTTCTAGGCAACTGATGCTACGAAATTGTTATAATATTCAACGCAAGTGCACATTTCATATATCAAGTAATAAAGTGGTAGCAAACTAATGCTACGGATGTCGAACCCACATGGAGCAAATTGTTTACGGTAGAGTTTAAGAAAAGTAAAGAAAGAGTTGACGTGATGAGTGACAAATAAAAGAAAAAGGTAGATTTATCAGAGTTAAAGAGCAGGGAAGTACTACAACATTCAAGAGAGCATTATAAACCAATAGACCTGAGATGCTATTGTCTTTGGGCTGCAAACATAGTAGTAATGCTGAAGTACTATGCTCATGATTTATGCTAAGATTAATTCACAGTATTAAACTTCTAATTCTCATTAAAATTCTAATATGTGCATATCAAGCATAATCATAGGTATCCTACATCTCTATATGGATATGTTACTTTCGTAAGCCCCTATGTTGTACAAAAACCAGCATGCATCCTTAATTAATTTCATCTGTAAAATTAATCAAAAAATACACGCACAAAATGCTATCATCTCTAATCAACCTCTATTAAAAACTACAACATCATAAATGTAGTTTAAATCACCAAAAACTATCGCATTAGAATTCAATCAAACACTTTATGTTCGATACCCAAAATAAAAGTATTTAACATTCAACAACCACAATATCGTTTGTTCTTTTCTCAAGTTTGAAATAATAAGCTAATGTTAAACGCCAATCAGTCAGGCTACTCCTTTGTTAATGTTGTACTCCCCGACAGAAGGACTAAGTTGCCATTGTGGCTTAAATCAACAGAGAAAGATATAGGAGATAATGGTGAGAATATTGCTCCTATTTATAGGTTGAGAGGGTGGATCCTCAACCAATGGTCGTCCGCCATATTTCATGTGATTCTAGAGCCTTTGAAAGTTGTCTTTATCCATATGTCCTTATCCCGTTGTCCCCTCTAGAAGGCTCTCTAATCTTCACGGTGAGTCACCGAATGCTGTTGAACAGTTCAATATTCCAATATAGCATTGCAATACAATATACCTACAACATCGAATAATGCCCCCAACATCAATGTACCAAATCCCAACATAAAACATAAAATTTCATCAAACATTAACCAACTTAGTCCAATTATGAAAATGGTGTAAAATAAGTAAAAATGATCCTAAAATGTTCCAAAAAATGCTCAAGTTCAAGCCTAAGTGTTTGTAAAAAATGCTCAACTTATAGGTAAAAAGATTTCTAAAGTATAACTCTTTTGGAGAGTTATTGCACCCCCAAACCTAAGTGTTTGTTTGTCCTCAAGAAACAAAGAGTATGTAACTATAAGTAATACTACACGAAAAATATAAGGAAACCATTCAGAAACTTTCTCCCAATCTATTTTTTCAACCCTCAGTTTTGGCTGCAGCAAGATATGCAGTATGTATGATCTCAAATTGAAGAATGCATTTTTAACTTAGTAGTCTCATAATTCATAATGTGCAGTAGCGTGCTGTCTAGGTGTATCCATTTAATTCTTGGTTATGTTAGAAAAATTTTCACATACTCAGTTAATACCTTTTAGAGCTACACCAACTTCCTTATCTATGTTAGAACATTCTAACTTATTTCCTAAAAACTATGTTGGAGGTATTACCATCATTACCTAGTTTATTTCTTAAAAATTATGTTGGAGCTATTACCATTATTATCCAACTTATTTCCTAAGAGATTTTAAAAAAAAATTAACTGCAGCATCTAATAAAGATATGAGATTTACAGCTTAAAATTTTCTAACTTCTCCAAGTGTTAAGATCATACACCTATAATGTTTAAAAGTTCTATGAATCATATTCCTACTAACTCTCTACAACATTCTTCTGTCATTTCACAACATCAAAATTTTCATCATTGGGTATCTTTAAAATTTTCCAAAAAGAAGCTATCTTTCATTGGTTTCCTAACGCATTACTAATGCAACTCCTAAAGATATACAATTTATGCAACAAAATATGCGAAGAAATATAACATGCAATCCTAAACAAAATATAAAATCAACAAACAATACACCCCAAACCTAAGGGATGCATTGATTTTAATGTATGTGAAACAAATTAAAAAGTTTTTAGGACAGAGAGAACAATACTCCCCTAAATTGGCTTTCTTGGGCCTTTCCTCAGGCTAGTATGGCTCGGGCGGATTCTCTTGGCAGTGACATTCGATTTGGAAGAACTCTTCTGCTTTTGACTCGATGATGTTGTGGTGGCGTTAGCCACAGGAGCATCAATACCATAAGTAGCGAGTATACTTGTAGCAGCTTTTATCTTTGGGGCAGGGGTTTTAATTGTTTACTCATCATTTTCCTTAGCGCTGTCAACAGAGACAACGGATGGTTTTTGACAACTCTCTAAAAGAGTTATATTTGGTACCCTTAATTACCTAGGTTTAGTTTGAACTTAAGCATATTTAGAAGCATTTTAGGATTAAATTTACTTAATTTTGCACATTCTGCATGACAGGAGCATCTTGGGTTGTTAAGGGTTAAAATTATTTTTGTTGATGCAAACTATTGCACTGATGTTGTAGTAGTCATCTAAGCTTCAGACTATTGGAAAAATCTTCTAGGTTGGGACAGTTAGCTTGGGTAAATGTCATGTGGATGTATAATACCTAAAACATTGACCTTTCCTATTGGGCGATGGAATTCTCATTCAATCTATAAGAGGGGGAGTACTTTGGTGCAAACAGTGTGACGACTGTGAGATATCCAAAGTACCATTTTCCACGTTATTGTTTCTTAAGCAATGGATGCCTAAATCTTCTGTCAGGGATTGATGTAAAACAAAGGAAGCTTGCTGAGGAGCTTCAGTGGTCAGCATATCACGTTCAATTCCTTCAATGCCTTCTATTGAGAGTGGGAGTGATTTGAATGATTAAACTTTCATTGGATGTTTATTACGAACTTCGTATTTTGTGTTTACTTGAGTATTTAGTTTATGAGGTTTGAACTTCATGATTGCGAGTAGAAATATTTTGCAATGAAGTATATAGTGTTTTTGTTTGAATTTGAAAATATTTTCATTTGAATTTCTATATACATTTGTGAGCTTTGGTGTTACTGAGTAGCATAAGTACACTGAAAAGTGTTGAACCACTAGATTAGCATTGTTAATAGTTTGAATCTTTAATTAATGAAAGTTATTAAAGTAGTTCAAATGGTCTTAATCAATGTTGATCATATCGACTAAGTATATCATGTTTACATAAAATTTGGTAGTCATAATATCATATCCTTTGATTGATAGCTGACCAATTACTTTTTGGAATGCTGTAACATGAACTTGTACTTCTCGTGATTGATTTCATTACTTTCTATCTAGCGTCTCATTTCCTTGATACATTTTGCTACTAAGAACTCTAATGAAAAAAATATGCTCTCTGTGGGTTTGACATCCGAGACTCTTGTAGTTTCCACTTTATTACTTGGTTTGCGATGCATACACTTGCGTTGTATACTATAGCATTAAGTTTTTGGCGCCATTATCGGGGAGCATCAGTTTGATTTACAGTTCTTTTAATATTGCTTACGTGTTTGTTTTCTTTTGTAGATTTCTTAGTCTATATTTTTACTAGTGTATGTCCTGAAGTGATTACGACTTAGAGCCGTTTGATCTGAATATTGAAAGAACATTTTGCAGACGTCGCTCGAAAGCTGCTATAGCTGGACGAGGGAGTGGTATTTTAGCTCCGCTACAAAATGAAGAGAATTATGAGTTTCTAGATGACATTAGAGTTGAGCAACCAAATAAGAATGTAGATGATCAAAATCACCCTATTTGTGAGCATGTGGTGCCGACCTTGGATTATTTGTATCCTGATATTGTGAGACCTTTTATTAATGATGCAAACTTCGAATTAAAGGAAATTATGTTCCAAATGTTACAATCTATGGGACAATATATAGGTTCTACTGCTGAAGATCCTAGAGCCTATTTGCGAGCTTTCATGAAGGTTTGTAATTTTTTTATTCATCAAGGTATTCCGGAGGAGGCCCTAAAGTTGAAGTTATTTCCCTATTCATTGTGTGATAAAACACGAGTTTGGTTGAATTCACTATCACCAGATGTTGTACCATCATGAAATCAATTAGCACATAAGTTCTTATTACGATTCAACCCACCGAATATGAATGCTAAGCTTCGAAATGACTTAACCTCATTCAAGCAAATGGATGATGAAAGCTTTTATGAAGTATGGGAAAGATTCAAAGATTTGTTGTAGAAGTGTCCTATGCATGGGTTTCCACATTGGACTCAAATGGAGATGTTTTATAATGGGTTAAATATTCACACTCGAAAGGTGGTTGATGCCTCAACAAATAGAGCTTTGCTGGATAAAACATACAATGAAACATATGATATTCTTGAGAGAATTTCCACCAACGATTTTCAATACCCTAATACACATAATACATTTGGTTGGCATAGTGTTGAAGCAGTAGACTCGGAAGCTTTTAACTCTATGGCATCTTAGATTTCAATATTGACTGAAATGGTAAAAAAATTGAATAAGCCAGGAGGAATGTATAAAGTCAAAGCTGCATCTCTTATTACTTGAATACATTACAGTGATGATCACAATTTTGATGAATTCCCCCAAAATCCGGAGTCTATCTACTATGTGTGAAATTATCCAAGGAATTATAATGCTTTTGGAAATACATATAATCCAAATTTCAAAAATCATCCCAATCTTTCTTGAAGAAGTCAGTATGTTGCCAATCCATAGCATCAACAATATTAGTCGCAATATTACACTTAGCAGAGTCAAATGCTACAACCACATGTATAGCAACATGTTGCTTAATCGCAGCAAAGGCAGAACTACTAAGGCCAATCTTCAAACAAAACTTTAACCTTGACATCTTGTGAAGACGTGATGAAAGAATATATGGAAAGTCAATCTACCTCATTAAGAGCTATTGAGAATTAGATGGGACAAATGGCTAAAGCTCTATATAGTTGATTTCTAGGATCACTCCCCACCGTACATCCTAGTGGCATTATGGAAAACATTCTTGTGCGAGTGGACAAGTTTATCTTTCCTTTATATTTAATCATTTTGGATTGTGAAGTAGACAAAAATGTCCCAATTATTCTTGGCCGCCCGTTCTTTACTACAGTCTGAGCTTTGATTAATATTGAAAAGGGCGAATTGACTATGCGTTTGAATGATGAACATATTACTTTTAATGTATTGAATAATGTTTCTTACATCAATGACAATGCTGACTGTTTTTCACTTGACGTGATTGATATTTTTGTGCAGGAGCATTTGGAGGAATGCTATAGCGTAGATATAGATTTATGTGATTTCAAAGCATTTGAAGAATTTTTGACGGATGAAGGAGCCAAATGTTGTAGTGAGTATCTCCAGAGCATAGAACCTTTGAAAGTACATGATCATATCATTTAAGAACTGAAGCCATCTATTGAAGACTACCGAAGCTTGAATTAAAGCCAGGGTATTTGAAATATGCTTATCTTGGAGAAAATGAGATGTTACCAGTCATTGTGGTAGGAAAGCTTACAGCATCACAAGAAACTCAGTTGATTGATATGTTAAAGCAACATAAGACGACTATCGCATGGAGCATTGCTGATACAAAAGGCGTTAGTCCATCAATTTTCATGCACAAAACTCTTTTGGAGGATCCCAATAGTAGCTCGATTGAACATCAATGAAGATTAAATCCAATCATGAAAGAAGTGATTCAAAAGGAGATTATCAAATGGTTGGATGTTGGGATTTTATACCCAATTTTGGATAGCAATTGGGTTAGTCTTGTGTAATGCGGTCCAAAAAAGGGCGGCATTACTGTGGTGACAAATGATAAGAATGAATTAGTGCCGACAAGAACCACCACTGTTTAGAGGATATGTATGGACTATAGTAAGCTAAATAAAGCAACGATGAAAGATCAATTTTTGTTGCCCTTCATAGATCAAATGTTAAATCGACTTGCAGGCAATGTTTTTTTATTATGTTTTGGATGGATATAGTGGTTACAACCAAATTCCTATAGCTCTGAAAGATCAAGAGAAAACAACTTTTACATGTCCGTATGGCACCTTTGCTTTTCGCAGTCTGCCATTTGGGTTGTGTAATGTTCCAGTGACATTCCAACGTTGTATGATGGCCATTTTCTCCGATATGATTGAGGACTATCTTGAATTTTTTATGGATGATTTTTCAGTCTTTGGGTAGGATTTTGAGAAGTTATTTCTAGCAATTTGGCTGCAGTTTTAAGAAGATGTGAGGAGACCAACTTAGTTTTGAATTAAGAAAAATTCCATTTTATGGTCACGGAAGGTATAATGCTAGGGCACGGATTTCAAGTCATGGCATTGAAGTGGATAAAGAAAAAGTTGAGGTTATTAAAAAATTACCGCCACCAACTAATGTTAAGGTAGTTTGAAGCTTCCTTGTCATGCTGGATTTTATTGAGCTTTATTAAAGATTTTTTTTGAATTGATAAGCCATTGTGCTCATTGCTGGAGTATAACATGAAGTTTGTTGTTGATTATGAAGTGCTTCAATCTTTTGAGACAATTAAATTAAAGCTAGTAAATGCCCTGTTATAATAGTACCAGATTGGAGTTTACCCTTTGAATTATTGTGCAATGCTAGTGATTTCACTGTAGGAGCAGTGCTGGGGTAACGAAAGGATAAAATGTTTCGTGCAATACATTATGTAAGTAGGACATTGAATGAAGCTTAGATCAACTACACCACAACTGAAAAGGAATTGCTTTCTATGGTGTTCTCTTTTTATAATTTCGTTCCTACTTGGTGGGTACACAAGTGATTGTCTATACCAATCACTCAGTGTTGAAACATTTATTTTCTAAGAAGGATACAAAACATTGTTTGATTCGATGGGTGCTTTTACTCCAAGAATTTGACATTTAGATTCGGGATAAGGAGGGATCTAAAAATCAAGTGGTTGATCACTTGTCTAGGTTAGAATTAGGCAGTGAAGATGGCAACATTAGAATAATTTTAGATGAATTCCCTGATGAGCATCTATTAGCTGCTACAGCATTACCATGATATGTTGATTTTGCCAACAATCTAGTTAGTGGGATGATTCCACCATACCTAAATTAACAAGGTTGAAGGAAATTTATAAATGAAGTAAAGAAAAATCATTGGGAGAAGTTGTATTTATTTAAACAATACAATGATCAACTTATGTGACGATGTATCCCTCAATGCTAGCGGCAAAGCATTTTGCAGTATTGTAATAGTGCCCCATATGGTGGACATTTTAGTGGTATATGCATAGCAGTGAATGTGCTTAAATGTGTATATTATTGGCCATCACTTTTTAAAGATGCTAATGACATTGTAAAGCATTGTGATCACTGTCAGAAAACTAGGAATATTTCTCGACGAAATAAAATGCCAATGCAACCTATCTTAGAGATCGAGCTATTTGATGTGTGTGGATTAAACTTTATGGGTCCATATCCATCTTCATATGGCAACCTCTTTATTTTAGTTGATGTAGACTATGTAACCAAAAGGGTGGAAGATGTAGCCTTATCGAACAACAATGCTAAAGTAGTGTGATTGTTGCATAAAAATATTTTCACTCGCTTTGGAACACCTCTGCATTTATCAGTGATGAAGAATATCTATTTATTGGTAATCAAGTTGCTAGAGCATTAAATAGAAATAGAGTAAAGCATAAGATTGCTACAATATATCATCCACAGCCTAATGGCCAAGTCGAGGTGTCTAACCGTGAAATCAAGTAAATCCTTTAGAAAGTTATGAACCCTTCTCGAAAGGATTGGTCCTAGTGACTTGAAGAAGCACTATGGGCTTATAGAACTACTTATAAGACTCAATTGGGAATATCCCCTTATTGTCTTGTTTATGGTAAAGCTTTTCACTTACCGGTGGAGTTAGAGCATAAATCTATGTGGGTGCTAAAAAGGCTGAATTTCAATTTAGATGCTGCGAGTAAAAAAAGGATGTTGGAGCTCAATGAGTTAGAGGATCTCCGAAATAATGCCTATGAGGGTTCATGCATTTATAAAGACAATAACAAGAAATGGCATGATCAGAATATTTTACAATTATTCCATATGAAATTACGTTCTTGTTGGTTAGGCCCTTTCGAAGTTCTTGAAGTTTTCCCTTATGGCACAATATTATTGAAAAACTTGGTGGATGTAAGCACATTTAAAGTCAATGGGATCCGTTTAAAGCATTATTTGTAGCAACAAAGCCCTAGCATCGATTCGATCACACTAAGAGATCATTCTCTTTTAATATTTTGTTCTCTTGAATAAGTCAATTCTTTTGACATTTATTTGTAAGTACTTATTTTCTTTATTTTTTTACAGGTGTTTTCGTGTTATCACTCTCGGTTTGTTCTTTCATGCTGCGCAGTTATTCACGTTGCACCTATTCCCGCCTATTGATGACTGAACTTTGGAGGGCCTTAAAATGGATATAGCATCGATTGGTCTTAAGCTGGACCAGGCTATGGTATTACTGAGCCACTCTCTTCAAAATCAATCCCAGATGAACAACGCCCAGGTTGAATATTGGGAGTATGCACAGAAAAGTGATTTGGTGACCAAGATAATGTTTGTGAAGTTATTAAAAGAGTATAAAGCGATATTTCCAATCTTTCCAGTGAAGGTATTGGAAGATCTGATGCATCTAGCAATGCGTGATACTAGTCATAGCTCAGCTAGCACGGAGACTCCTAACGCCACGCAACTAGAAGGGGAAGAAGAAACTATGGCTACTTATACCAAGTTAATAGAGGGTGAAGAGGAGATCGACGATGAAGAAGAAGATGGTGATAGTGAAAAAATGAGGAATCTGAAAAATATATTAAAGTTTTATCTTTGGATGAGAAAATTCCAGGTAAGACAGAACAGGTGAGCAGCGTTTAGTTGCAAGTGACAGCTACGGATAGAGCTGATGCTCCAATAAAACAATTGGTTGATCAATTGCTAAATTTTAAAAGCCACCAAAACTGAAGAAGCAACCATTACTGTTGATAAACCAAAGTTGGATGCAGTGACAGTAATTCGTAATGTTGTTACTGTTGTTGGACAATTAGTTGTTGCGAGTCAGTCGGAGAGCACTTCCATAACACATGCTACCAGCGCTGAGAGACCATAACCATAAGAAAAGAAATAGTTGGATATTAAAACATCAACAACTCCATTCTATAATGTTGTTGTGGTAGGAGTCATGTTAACGACGGTTAATC